TTAGTCCATCGATCTCGTAATTTGATATTAAGCATGCTTCTCTCCATGTGACGTTGGCAATATGACAGTTTTTGGTTATTTTTGTGTGTAGCAGGCCACGTTTGACATCCGTAAGTTAGGCATGGAAGAATACATGTGTTGTAGAGCTTAGCTTTGACCGACATAGGCATTGTTTGGCTTTTTACTATCTCTTTGAACGACCAGTAGCGCTTCCATGCGTTGCTTATCCGCCTGTCTATCTCTTTCGAATACTGGTTAGCGAATAGCACAATGTCATCAGCAAATCTGAGATGGTTTAGGTGTGCTCCATTTACATTTATTCCGAATTTCTCCCAATCCATGTTTCTAAAAATGTTTTCGAGTACTGCTGTGAAGATTTTAGGAGAAAGTGGATCCCCTTGTTTGACGCCCTTTTCTATGCTAAATTCTTCTCCCATTTTTTCGAGCTGTATTTTTGCTGTTGAGTGTTTGTATATCTTCTTTATAATATTTATGTATTTTTCTTCTATGCCTTGGATTTGTAACGTTTGCCAAATGTAGTTATGACTTAGGGAGTCAAACGCCTTGGTATAGTCGACAAATGCCAAGTAGTATCTTTGATTATATTCATTACACTTCACTATTATTTGTTTCACAACTTGAATGTGATCGATGGTCGAGTAATCTGAGCGAAAACCTGCTTGTTCCCTTGGTTGGTTATCTTCTAAATTTTTAGCTATTCTTCCCAGAATTATTTTGGAAAACACTTTATACAAGTTGGACATTAGCGATATAGGTCTATAATTGTTGATGTCTCTTTTATCGCCTTTTTTATATAGCAGAGTTATGGTAGATTTTGTGGTATTAGGATATAAAGATAAATAAATAGGGAATGAGTTTAGATATAGACTAATAAACGTATGGGATATCAATACATACTGTGCTGACCCTTCGCAGAGACAAGTCAGGTTGATGATAATAATCAAGGTATACTAACATTTTTAAGACGAAAGAATATAGCTTCCAAAACATTCTTTTACTGTTGCGTTTTAGTGATGCACAGTATCACCGTGTGTCAGATTTTAATATGGTTTTAAGCTTAGCTTATTACCATACTACAACATTTATAACTTAATTTACAAGTAATGTTATGGATGGCTGCTCATATAAAATATGTTCGGATTATAATCTAACGGTGTTATGGAATTTAAAATCTCGTGTTCATAGACATTTAACTAATGAAACATATATTAACACAAAATTTATTTACTACAGTGTCGTTATATTTATTATAGTTTTCACTAGCTTTTGCCCGCGACTCCGTTTGAATTAAAAGAGAAATTAAGTAAGCTATGTGTTCTTCCAGATTATGTATGATGCCTAGTACTTACAGATGTATGTAAACTAGTATAGTTGAATATTTACTGAGCTAACTAGAAAAATTATCAATACAAACTTTCGCATTTATAATCTGCATCATCATTATCAACACTAAGGTGACTAGGCTATAGTCAACCACGCTGGCCGAGTACGGGTTGATTGACTTCATACTTAACTTGAAATTCCTCGACGATATGTGGAGGCATCACGGTGTTTTCCTTCATCGTAAGAACGTCTGGTAAATTATGTACATATGAATTTTGACAAAGAAGGAAATCAGATTGGTACATGGCCGGATTCGAACTCAAGATCTTTAGATTACAAGTCATTATTAATATGATATTGGTTTATGTTTTTTCTTTTAGAAATTTATTGATCCAGACGGATTCTGGGTAAAAAGTTTTGTTTCATAGTTGTTTTATTATTTTTGTATGCACGTCTGCTATTCATGCGACTCGCAAGGTCGTTTTGAGTCGCGGCGACTGTGCGCAGAATGTTGAAATCTCGAACTGTGTGCAAATTGTTGACATTAATATTGACTACTTGATTGCATATAGCGCCACCGCCATCTATGTACGGTTACTATAAACTTTTATAACACTATTAAGACACTAAGAGTACCTTTGACTAACCTACCACTCAATTGTTCAGTCGCGATTTGATTCCTATGAGCTTATACGGAGATGCGCACACTACTCGATTTTTAGTTATGCAACTAAACAGTTGAAAGGGCTGCGAAACAATCGACAATCGCTCTAAAAACAGAAGTTGAATGTGATATAAGCTAACTATGAGTGCAAACCTCTGACTCAAGTCTTGCTTTCTTGTTTGTGTCGATGATTGCAAAATCCTGTACGAATCTTTATTGGTTTAACTTTATTCTTTTTGTACGAAATAATGGATGGCCACAATCTTTCTATGTAGAAAACCGAGATTTTTAATATCGTCTTAAGTAACTGGAGATAGTTGTGTGTAATATCATCGTTTACAAACCAAAGATTTTGGTCACCGCCTAATAATGTTCTTAACATTACGTCTATTTGAAGCAATCGGCTTCCCTCAGCTTAAAGTGAGAAATTTAATTATTACATATTTTTAACGAAATTTATATATTAAAACGTTATCTGTGTATGTGACCTCTAGCTTTAGAAGGTTAAAGACCAAGTCATCAACATGGGTCATCGTTATGTAGTAAATTTAACTTTATACCAGTAGTCGTATTACAGGACCGTTAATACCGTTGTTCAATTTTTATAGTCGATCATCAATATGTGATTGAATGTTGAGAAACATGTTTATGTACATGAATCAAAATTTAATAATACCTTCAAATTTATAGAACTTATAACAGTAAAAATTAATAAATATTACAGTATACCTTACTAGACACAAAACTGTAGATAAAATATATGTCGTCAATCTCAGCCAACCAAAATTTAAAAGACAACTTTTATCTGTTTATGATAAATTTTAGCTAGATCCTTTATCTCGTTCTGAATATACGTAAAACAAACATTAGTCCATCCATCCCTGTAAACTTTCATATTTACAACTAGCTGTTCCCGAACGACTTCATCCGCCTGGAATTATGAAGATTTTGTTTTATTGTTTACATTTGTAAAATTATCAATAGCAAATGTCAAAATGACATGACATGACAATCTTGCTTCCTTCATGTTGGCAGCAACTTATGGTCTCTTTCCCACAGTAGGACTTTTAATCCAAAATATTTACCCCCTAAGTTTAATGACGTGAAAACATATAGCCTAAAGCGTGACGTAAGTGTAGGGTTTTTTATTAAAAAAAGAATTATTCAAAAATATGCTGTAATTGCTGACATCTTAGGCAACAAAGAAGTGTGTGTTTACGCTTTATTATAATAGTATAGAATATAGATATTAGTAAGTAATTTCATGATATGTAACTTACATAAGAAATTATTGATATAAAATGTAGTTTCAATACAATAAAGGAAAAAAGGCTCTTTTGTCCAACTATACCAATATAATAAAGCGTAAACACTCACTACCTGGTTA